CATGATGCTTTGTGATGAACGATGTTCTCAGTTGTCCTGATCATTTCCAGCTTTCTGTCTGCTGAGTAAACTTTAATAGGAGGAAACTGTCATTCATTGGGTGGAGTCTCAGTAATCCTCAGGTTATTATTAGAATAATTCACATGAGTAAGTCTGACTAGCGATATACTGCCTCCTTCTGAGAGGAAGTGTTACAGGTGCGAGGGGCTGTGAAATGTGTGCATAGGCATTAGCATGACCAAGACCAGCCTCATTCCCTATAAAACTGACAAGTAAAAGAAAAAAGCAAAAAAACGTCCAAAAATCTAAATGTTTCAACTTTGCATAGCTTACAACAACAATAACAACAGAAGAACACACTGGATGGCATGCCTGCTGTTAAAACAGAACATCGAGGCTACTCTTTACACAGGCTTATCAAGATTGGAAAATGTTTTTAGTCTGAGTCTCAGATTCAGATGATAATCAAAAAGATGTGTAAATAACATGAAAGTATGGATCCACCCCATCTCATATTAACAATTCAGGTGGATAAGGGTGGTGTAATGGGTTGGTGGATATTTTCTTTCAACTTTTGGCTGCTCAGTACCAACTGAGTATCGTTTAAATGGCCCATCCTACCTAAGTATTGTTGCTGTCATGTCCATCCCTTTATGACCACACTCTACCCATCTTTTGATGTCTGCTTGCAGCAAGATAACACAGCATGTGACAAAGCTCAAATCACCTTAAACTATCAACATGTCTGACATATACGTTTGAGAATTTTTGTCATAATTTTATTACGTTAAAGTAAAATAGTGCAGATCGTTTGAATATTATAGGTTTCTTTTTAAAACAGGATGTGACACTTTTATTCATAGTCAAAAGCTAATAATAATAATCCCCTACAGATATATTTGCCATTGGAGATTGGCCTCTATTACAAGATGTGACAGCTCAAATGTTGCATTGGTTTTTTTAATAAGGAACCTTTTGTTATAATATCTGATCTTTGTGAGACCAACGTTGGTTGTAATGTCTGATTCCAGGTGTAAGTGGCTGCAAGCTGCCATACAGAAATTTTTAAAATGTGTTTTGGAGGTTTTTGTATTGAGGTGCAGTGATGTGCAGCACTGTGGTATCTAGCAGCACAGAAGTACACTCCACTGCTGCTCACTTTGATATCCTTAATCGCTAATGTGCAGTTCTTGTGTTGTCTTGCATCCCCGTCCATTGTTATATTTACTCCAGGTTCTGGGTTACTGTTATCATAATACATGTATCCAAGCAGATGTAGCTGTTTCTCTGACTTCTTGTACCAGAGGATTGTGTCATAG